AATGAAAATAATGAAAAAATTACAAAATCAGGATTAATCAATAAAAAACATAATAAACAGACAAGAGATATGCGATCGTTCTATTAGAAACCGAAATCTTATATTTTATGGTATAGAGGAAAACAAAGGGGAGCGATGTACCGACGTTCTAATGGATTTTTTCTTGAATAAAATAAAGTTAAAATTAGAGAATTTTTGTATTGACAGCTGCTTTCGATTGGAAAGAAAAGTAGGCAATAAAGATAGACCAGTTTTTCTGTAAAATTTTATAAGGATTTAGTTTTTAAAAACAAAAAACTTTTAAAACAAACCACAATTGTAATTAGAGAAGATTTGTCTAAAGAACAACAAAATATAAATAAAAGAGACTTTTGAGAAGGTGGGAAAATGAGGAAAAGTGTGGATAATGTCAGGGAATATTTTTCTAACACTCACTGATAAAGAACAAATTATCAAAATCAATTAATTGGAAGGTACTGAACTTTTTAATTAATACAAACTATTTTTTTTGCTTTCTTGTTGAAACACAATTTATATTTAGTTATGTGAATAGTTATAAATTAAAACTTTTTAAATTATTGTTTAATTTTTGCAGGTTAAAACAATTAAATTATTTAGATTATTTTTCGCAGTACATGTGCAATTGTGTCGCACCTCTCTGGTGTTTTATTTCTTATCGCTAGTAAATAAAGTTGATTTTTCGTTCTGTTAGATAAGATTTAAAAAGTTTTTAATTTATTATTGAGTATTTATTTTATATCGAATACAGATTTAATAGTATAAATGAAATATTTAAAAATTGGTTGTGCAAATGTTAGATCTTTACCACCTTCTGTTCATGATGTAAATGATATATCAGAGAAAATTATTTTGATATATTTTTAATTTGCGAGTCTTGGTTAAAAGATTCTATTAGTGATCATGCACTAAATATTGAAGATTATAACTTACTTAGAGCTGATAGAAATGCTAGGGGAAAGGGTTTATGTATGTATATTAGACGCGGACTTCGCTACGGGGTAATGGTTAGTTGTTAATAAAAAAGTATTGGCAGTAGCGGTTATTTCATCTCATGAGCAAAATACATGAATTTGAAGACAGTCTTACCTCTATTTTGCCAATTGTTGATGAGATAGTATGCATGGGGGATTTTAATTTAAATTTATTGAATTTTAGTAACATAACTCTATCAAGATTTTATTCACTTTTAGAAACGCTTAATCTTTGTCAATTAATAGACGAGCCTACAAGAATTACAGCAACATCAGCTACTCTTTTTGATTACGTGATAGTTCAAGAAGGAGCTCCTGTTAAAAGGGGAAATACGTGATGCAATTTCTGATCACTCTTTAGTTTTTTGTAAAATTAGAGTAAGTACTGAGCAGTTCGCGTCTAAAATGGTAACTTAAAGAAATTTTAAATACTTCGATGAATATATTTTTCAGCGTGATCTTTTCAATACTACCTTTTTCAGAATTTATGATCAGGAAATATGCTCCTATTACAACATCAAGGGTGATTAAATGTAAAGCTCCGTGGTTAACTTATCCGATAAAATTAATGATTTCGAAAAGACATAAGGCGCTAAGAAAGTATAGGCGAACTAGATCTAATGTTCATTTACAGGCTTACAGAGAACTACGTATTTTCACTATTAAAAGGGAAAAAAGGGCCTATTTTTTCCATCAATTTAATAATAGTTCTTTCTTCTACAGAGATGTGGCGAACTTTAGAAACAAATAAGTTTATTCCAAGTAAAAACGAAAATATACCTGATGACCTAATGAAACCAAATGAAATTAATCGTTATTTTATTGAATCTATTCCAATAACCGAACCACCTGAAGATGTCAGAAATTTTTACAAAAATAATAAAATTATTGATTCTAATTTTAATTTTAGAGAAGGGTTATGTTGTATTTGAAGGGTCTGGAAATGCACATGTTCATACCACTCTGCACTGACGTCTAGAATTTAAATTTGAAACATGCCACGTTGCCAAATATCCACTTTCATTTTAGCGTGCTTTGTGCTTTGCAATTTGTTATTATCGTGTATATTCTATTTTCTTAGACTGTGTTTGTTTTTATTAATATTCCTTATTATTATATTATTATCCTCTTTGTGTGCTGTTTATGTGTTTTTATGTGTCTTAATATTGTTGTGTTGTTTATATAAATCTGGTAGAAATTTTAAATAAAATGGGTGGCAGAGCCCGAGCGGCTCCGATTTTCATTGTGCCCAACATTTAACTTTTAAATAATGATGAAGTTCGAGAAGAGCATGTAATATTAGCGGGTTTAGGGTTTACAAATGTTTTGGACTGCATTAAATGGTTAGCGCTTATTACATAATGAAATGTTTTGTCAAGTGTGTCAAATACCCATGTCTCTTGTTAAAAGAGCAAGCTACAGCGACGGGCATGAGTGGAAGTGTAAAGAGTGCGGGAAAAAACAATCGATAAGAAATGAATCTTTCTTTGCTAGGAGTCATTTACCTCTAGAGAAAATTTTGAAAATTATGTATGGATGGTTCAGGGATTATGCACAAAAAGATATTGCTTATGAGGCAAGTACGGGAGCGAGATCCAATCACACAATCGTTGATTGGTGCTCTTTTTGTAGAGAAATTTGCGAACAACATCTTGTTGACTATCCTACAGTCATTGGTGGCCTCAATGACGATGGAAAAGTTCAAAAATCGTCGAAATTGATAAATCAAAATTTTTTCACCGCAAGTATCATCGTGGGAAGTGGAGAAAGGGACATTGGGTGTTTGGAGGAATTGAAAGGGGGTCCATGAAATGCTTTTTAGGTAACGCAACTAGATAAGGCTACATATTGCAACTATTATTTATTTTTTAGACTTCCAATACATAGTTTTGACATTTACCTTTACCTTTCTAGGTTTCAGGTTACTAGGAAAATCGGAAACTAACAAGTAATTAACTAACTATATTAATATTTCTTGAGTCATATTTTCAATTAAATATGATATATTTTATTTAAATTTTTTTTGTAACAAGTATAAATCAAAGATGATTCGCCGAACGAAATTAAAATATTCAGGATAATAAATGTAGTTTGTTGTTTTTTAAATATTTTGTATCTTAAAATTTTTATTTCTACATATTATATTTGATTTTCACATTTTATAGCTTATTTTTTAACCAAAATGTAACCTCTGTACATTAAAATGTATGATAAACAAGGATTAAAAGTAATTTTAAAAAACCGACTTCAAAATCGTGCAGGTGTCATCACCACATCTTAACCAAATTTATATGGGACCACCCCTGAGGTATTCTCTTACTAAAAAGAATCATAGAAATCAGATAAGGTAATAAAGAATTATCGCTAAACCTATATAAAAAATGAAGAGTTTGACGATTTTCTCATGGACCCAATTATTAGATTTTTACCAAATGTATAGTGAACCACCCCTGACGTACCTCCTTACTAACAAAAAAGAATTATAGAAATCGGACATGGTGGTAAACAATTATCCCTAAACATACATAAAAAAATTAAGAGTTTGAGGATTTTCTCACCTAATAATTGGGTCCAAATTATTAGGTTTTGACGAAATTTATATGGGACTACCCCTGAAGTACCCCCTTTCTAACAAAAAAAGTATCGCTGAAAATATATAAAAAATATATATACAGACGAATTGAGAACCTCCTCCTTTTTTGAAGTCGGTTAAATATACAAATTTAAATTACATATATTTTGAAATAACAATTTTGTTTTGTTTTATATAAGAGTTTTGATAGATTTTAAATTTTGTAATTATTATCACTATTGTAAGATATTATGGACATTAAAAATAACGACCGTATTGAAAATCTTCAGAATTTTTTAAATTTTTATATGATTTTTAATCGATGTAAAAATTGGTAAATAGATGATTAAAAGTAAAATAGTTATTTCAGTCTCCTTATTCACTGGTTCCAAATAATTAAATATAACCTGACAACTATGTAACGATTCCAGCTGTCAGAACTAGCCGGAATAGAAATGGTGCACACAGGCGCATTTCCAGACCCTTCAACTGCAATATTACCAAGATAAGTTAAAGACCTTTTCGTTTTTAAGATGATCTGTGATATCAAAACTAATGCCAAGGGGTGTGATGGATTGAATATAAAACTGATTAAAATTTGCTGCCCTCATATAGTACCTTATATTACCCATATACTTAATTTCTGTATTACTAAAAATGTCTATCCTGCAATGTGGAGGAGAGCAGTTATAAAGGTTCTGCCAAAAAAGCAAAGCCCAGTAAGTTTTATAGATTTACGTCCAATAAGTATTTTGCCTACTTTAGTTGTACAACTGCTCTGCTCCATATTGTTGATGACGTCATTAAAGCCACGGATCAGGGAAAATGTACTCTATTAGGGCAAAGACACACGACGCTCATTTAAGACGAGCGGCGAACGCTCGTCTGCCGAGTCTACCGCACAGACGATGTCCGTTTCACAAATATTATACACCAAACTACTTTATTAAAATTACTAGACGTTGTCGGTTGTAATTTTTTTAATGGATAGTGATTCGGAAGAGGATTTTTTAATTTCAATTGGTTTACTATATTTACGATTAAAGGAAAAGAAAAATCGACGTATGTGGGTTCATCCAATAGTTAAAGAACGCCATAATAAAAGTATGTATTATAACTTATTTAAGACTACGTTACAAGATGATGAGGAAAAATTCTTTAATTTCGTCAGAATGTCCAAAAATTCGTTTAATGAATTACTAAGGTACATAGAAAGTGACTTAACCAAACAAAACACAGTAATGAGGGAAAGCTTTTCACCGGAGGAAAAACTGGTAGTAACCCTAAGGTAAGTATTTAGAAATTTTATTTCAACTTATAAAAAGAAGTAACTACTTTCTACTTAAGATTAAACCAACATAACACATATAAAATGAACTTACATAAACTAAGAATATGAACTCAAAAAACATTAGAATTATCTGTTGAATAGTTACTATAGTAAGAATATATAGATTCTGAAGGAGACTGAAGTGGCGAGGTTGTTTCATTGGGTAAGATTTCAGTTGTGGCTGTGTTCGATTGCATCTGTTGATATTCTGGTGTTTTCTCCGTTGCTTGAAGATAGGTCTGATGCTGAGAATGTTGCAAGTATACCAGTGGTTGCTGATGAAGTGGATCCGGTGGTGCTCGATGCTCGGTGCTCGGAGCTCGATAGTGGAATGGAGCTGGTTGATGCTGTAATAAAGGAATATCAGTTCGATGAACTTCAATAGGTTATTTCATTATATTTTACATTTTATTAAAATAATAATTAGTTGTTATCCAATACAAATAATGCAATGTCATTAATTCTAAAGTTCATTGTGTCCAATTCTGTTTAGCTAGCAAATGATCTATTAAAGCGATATTTGACTGTTAGTTATTGAGTAGTATTTAATTAACCTTATAATACACATGTAAAAAAGGTATATAATTTTATTATGTAATAAAGGGCTGGTATAAACTTAATCAAATGTTTTATTCTACAAATGCTAAAATTAAGGAAAAGAACCTAGAATTATTACATGGCGACCCTGCCAGCCCTTAATAATAAAAAGTAGTTTTTTTTATCGCAAGATTTTCAATAGTAACACAAAATGTGCAACTCAAAAGTTAATACAAGAGAGGATATTCAGATTCAAGCTGCAGGAACTGGTTCAAACAATGCTTCCCAGGTAAACTCAAATACTTTTACACGTACTGATTGGATGCTGTTGGCTTTAATTTTGTTGGTTGTTGCTGCGATTTTATATTTTGTAATCCAAAAAATACGAAGAAATGTAAAGTCATCAATAAGGAAGCAAATCCAGATGCATGAATGGAAGAAATCCCGTGATCAGCTCAACGATGGAAACTAAATAAGTATTTTGTGGTAGTGTAGCTATGTAGTGTAAAAACAAAAATTAAGTGTTTAATGAGTGACGAAGAAAAATGTCTCTGTGAATTTCGAGCATTCGAAGAAGAAATTGTTAAATTTGAAACTAATTTGACTAAGGACCGTATTGAAAAACGAAAGGACAAAAATAACACCGAGCGTCGGATAAAAAGGTTAGATACTTATAGAATAGGTTTTTTAGATTTAAAATCACGATTTAATAATAAAAGTTTTTCATCAAATTTTATATGTAAAATTTCAGTTTATGCAGAAAAGATAGAACAATTCATTAAAAAATGTAATGATATTTTAGAAGAAAGATTAAAAAAACAGGATAGGGAAAATCTGCAATTACAATTTAATGATGGAGATTTATTACTAAATTCACCAAATGTTGAACTAGGCCAATTTTTTATTGACAGTGTTGAGAATAGTTCTAATCCAGATAATATTGTAAATTTTTTACCAATTAATATGGCTAATTTTGACTTTAAAACGGCTGCTAGCTTGTTGCCAAAATTAAATTCTAGCGATTCTGAGTCAGTTTATAACTTAATAGAAGGTATCCAGCTTTATGAACCCTCTTTAAATCAAATTGGTAAACCCCTTTTGATTAATTATATTTTAAAAGCTTGCATTTCACATAAAGATAGCAAAGATAAGGGATTTCCAATACGAATTTATTAAGAGCTTGTAAAATACTTAATCTGGCACTTAATTTTAAATGTGGTGGAAGTTGTTTTAACTGTGGTAGTAGTGACAGTAAAAATAACCGATCATCGTCATTTTCATTTTCTTTTGTTTCGCGGCGCTTTGCGTTGGCATCCAAAGCTTCGATTAACTTTGCTTCGATTAGTGGTATTTTTCTTTTTTTACCTATTACAACTTTTTCTGTCAAGTTAACTGAGAGGTTAGAACTTGTAGTTGCATGAGACTGTTGGAGAGCTTGTCCTGTTATGTTGTTTTCATTTAATGCGTTTGATGTTTGAGCTCCTTCATTCATTTCAAACTCTTTATCTAATGCCTGAGAATGTTCCACTTGGTCATCATTCATTGAACTATCCGTAGCACGGTGCTGTATTGTATCTTCTAAAAATGACATTTGAACGGCGTATACATAAGGGGCCCTTTTCTTTGCTCCCTGTCCAGATTTTCCAATTATCTTAATAACATCACGACTGTATCTGTCCCTAGCATTTTTCCATTTTTTTTGAAGTTCGGTTCCTAAAAATATATTTTTTTTGTTTTAGATATCTAGCCACAGGCTGTACATTCGCTGATTTATACTACGCTTTTAGAATTGGTAAATCAACGGCTAGCAAAATAGTTAACGAGGTTTGTAACGCAATTTGGAAACGTCTATCACGTACGGAATTTCCTGAAAGTTCATCCGAAAATTGGAAAGGAATTGCTCAGGGTTTTGACGAACAAGCTAATTTTCATCACTGTATAGGTGCAATCGACGTAAAACACATTAGACTTATTCGACCTTCAAATAGTGGTTCCATGTTTTATAATTACAAAAATTATTATTCAAGTGTACTATTCGCTATGTGTGATAGTAATTATTTATTTACATATATTGACGTTGGGTCCTATGGAAAATCTAGCGATTCTGGAATTTTTCAAATCTCGCAGTTGTATAAAAACATGATAAACAAGACACTTAAAATTCCTTGTCCAACACTAATCGGAAGTGATAATATTAAATATCCATTTGTAATAGTTGGAGATGAGGCGTTTCCTCTGTCTGAAAATTTATTAAGACCATACGGTGGTAAAAACTTATCTCGGGAAAAATTAATTTTCAACTATAGGCTCTTAAGAGCACGACGGTATATTGAGTCTTCCTTTGGCATTTTAGCTAATAAATGAAGGATTTTCCATAGGCCACTTAATGTTGATATAGATTTAGCAGAGAAAATTATCAAAGCTGCTTGTACACTTGTAGTGGGAATTTAAGCACTAACACTATGTTATAACGATTTATTACATCAAACAAAGTAATCTATAAAAATGAGGAGCACAAAACATTTAACTGGTTGGCTCGCAGGCCGTACTTATTCTAAATCTAACGAAACCGGTCTCTCTCCCTTTACCGCGGCACAGATGCCTTCTCGTCTCTGCCAGTGCAGGGACGGACTGGCTACACTACCCCCCAACTAAAATGTAAGTTCGTAGAACCTGGAATTTTAGTTCACTTCACTCGCGATCACTACCCCAAAACGCTTCGCACCTTATCAACTAATAATCAGCTTAACAGAATTAAAATAAACAAAAACTTAGCAAACAGTTTAATTCTCGCTAATCGGGAACTTATAAGGCTTTAAATTCTGTATATTCTGTATACTTAATGACTTTCCCGAAGCATCTTCAACGATTTTATATGAGGTCGGGCTAATAATTTTTTGAACAGTACACGGCCCGCGAAAGAGTAAAAAGAATTTTTTAATTTGCTTATTTTCGGATGAAGACAAATCATGTGTTCGGACAAGTACCTTGTCGCCAGATTTAAAGGTCGTCAAATTTTTCCCCTTTTCAAATTTGTTTTTTCGCTTTTCTGATCGCGTTAATAATTGCTCCCGGGCTAGCGTAATAATATCAACCGATTTGCTTATCGTTGGGTAAGGAATTTTTCCCAAAACATTTAGTGACGAAATTTGATTATTATGTACTTCATCCGGCGTAAAACCGGTACTTGAATGAATTGTTTTATTTAAATACAACTCTACCAATTTACACGAATGGGCCCATTTTTGGTGCTGTTCATGGCATAACATGCGTAATAAACGACCTATTTCGCGATTAGCGCGCTCAACCATATTTCCTTGTGGAAAATATCTAGAAGTATGAACAATCGTAAATTTTAATTCCATACTACATTGCCGATATACCTTACTATGGAATTGGGTCCCATTATCTGATAAAACACTATGAGGAGTACCCACCTCCTGAAAATAATTTTTTAAACATTTAATAATTGCATTTGATGTTGCTCTACGCAACGGGTAGAGCGATACTCTTTTACTGAATACATCCATGACCACGAACAACGATGTTGCTCCACCCCTTGAAACCGGTAAAGGACCCATCAGGTCTATACTAATAATTTCGTTTGGCCCACCTGTTGTCACCGATTGCATTTGACCAAAACACCTAGGCGAAATTTTAGATTTTTGACAGATTTCACATGAACCTATAATTTTTCGTATTTTGCTCTGCATTTTAGGAAAATAGAAATCTCGTTTTAGTGCCAAATAACATTTTTGTGATCCAAAATGACCATTATTCTCATGGTATTCTTTTGTAAGCAATACTATTTCGCTTTTAGGGACACATAACCTATAACACGGCATTTTCAAAGAACCCTTACGAAAAATTAAGTTTTTATACTCAAAATACCATTTATGAGTCGTCCCTGGATTACTATCCTTAAGTTTATCAGCAATCTTTTTGCAAAACTCGTCTTTTTGCTGAGTTTCCACCAGATAGTGAATATTGTTCACTATTTTATGCCATGTATAAGAAGATTGCTTTTCTATACTATTAATTTCAAACATATCGACACATGGCCTGTCGATCAAGTCGATTTTCCCTTGGGGATACCTAGACAGCGAATCCGCTATATAATTTTCACTGCCACGTCGATATTCAATTTTTAATGCAAATTGTTGTAGGTACAAAGTCCATCTCAACAATCTCGAATTTAGCAGACGAGACACGTTTTTAAAAAGGAAAGTGATTTGTGGTCCGTAATCACAATTATATCGTGTCCTAGTATTAAGAAATACCAATGCTTCAGCGCTGAAATTACCCCTAACGCCTCTTTCTCTGTAACCGAGTAATTTCGCTCAGGGCCATGAAGAAGCCTTGAATAATAAGCTATAATGCATTTGTTACCTTCATTATCAATTTGGTATAAACACGAACCAATTGCATATGCTGAGGCGTCGCTTTCGATATAATAGGCTCGCGACGGATCGGGATGGTTCAATGTGAACACCTTAGTGAAAGCTTCTTTTATTAACTGAAACGCAGTCTGCTCTTTATTACCCTACTTCCACCTACAATTTTTTTTTAACAAATCATTTAAGTCTACAACTAAGTAGGCGTAGTCTTTTACAAACCTTGCATCGTAATTTACAAGACCAAGGAAAGCTTTCAGTGTTTTGACATTAGTAGGCGCTTGAAAATTTTCTATGGTTTTTATCCTGTCAGGATTCATCCTTATTCCGGTATTGGTCACGAAATGACCAACAAAATTAATTTCTTTCTGCGCAAACTGACATTTTTTCAATTCTAGATGTACCTACTATGTCCAAAATAAACTCACCGCAGGGTAGACTAAAGCTTAAGTTTAAAATTTCGTGTTTTTTCTTTATCTGTTAATGAGTTATCGAGTACACAGACACACACAAACACATAGACACACACACACACACACACACACACACACACACACACACACACACACACACACACACACACACACACACACACACACACACACACACACACACACACACACACACACACACACACACACACACACACACACACACACACACACACACACACACACACACACACACACACACACACACACACACACACACACACCACACACACACACACACACACACACACACACACACACACACACACACACACACACACACACACACACACACACACACACACACACACACACACACACACACACACACACACACACACACACACACACACACACACACACACACACACACACACACACACACACACACACACACACACACACACACACACACACACACACACACACACACACACACACACACACACACACACACACACACACACACACACACACACACACACACACACACACACACACACACACACACACACACACACACACACACACACACACACACACACACACACACACACACACACACACACACACACACACACACACACACACACACACACACACACACACACACACACACACACACACACACACACACACACACACACACACACACACACACACACACACACCACACACACACACACACACACACACACACACACACACACACACACACACACACACACACACACACACACACACACACACACACACACACACACACACACACACACACACACACACACACACACACACACACACACACACACACACACACACACACACACACACACACACACACACACACACACACACACACACACACACACACACACACACACACACACACACACACACACACACACACACACACACACACACACACACACACACACACACACACACACACACACACACACACACACACACACACACACACACACACACACACACACACACACACACACACACACACACACACACACACACACACACACACACACACACACACACACACACACACACACACACACACACACACACACACACACACACACACACACACACACACACACACACACACACACACACACACACACACACACACACACACACACACACACACACACACACACACACACACACACACACACACACACACACACACACACACACACACACACACACACACACACACACACACACACACACACACACACACACACACACACACACACACACACACACACACACACACACACACACACACACACACACACACACACACACACACACACACACACACACACACACACACCACACACACACACACACACACACACACACACACACACACACACACACACACACACACACACACACACACACACACACACACACACACACACACACACACACACACACACACACACACACACACACACACACACACACACACACACACACACACACACACACACACACACACACACACACACACACACACACACACACACACACACACACACACACACACACACACACACACACACACACACACACACACACACACACACACACACACACACACACACACACACACACACACACACACACACACACACACACACACACACACACCACACACACACACACACACACACACACACACACACACACACACACACACACACACACACACA